TTTTTTTAATTGATTGATGATTGATTCAATCAACTAATTTGTTGATTGTATTAACTTGATTCTTTAGATATTGAAAATTAAATAAATAACATTATGTTAATTTAAGCGTACAGAAACGTTGCTGTTGTTCCAGCAAAAATCTTATTTTCACTTTACCGAGTGCCTAGTAGGTAATTTGCAGATTACCTAGATAATCTGAACATTACCTAGGTAATTTGAGAAATGGAATAATTTTCTCAGCTTTAACGGATCACCCTAGTTAATCTGCAGATTAGCTAGGTAATGCGCACATTAACGGATTTCGAGCTTTAGCGGTAACATATATATGAAAATATACGAATGAATTCCCATGTCTCATACATTAAATATTTATATCTATGTGTAATATATATATATATAACTTTAATAATTATTAATAATATAAAAGTTATTTTTTAATAATACAGTATATAATAGATGATGCCACACACAATTTTGACTTTAACTTATGATATCGTGGATATTACTATATTTAGTGTTCTTTACATATATTACGATGGAATTATTTGTTTCTATTTGATTTACAACTTCAAATACAAAAAGGTATAAAGACAGAAATTAGAATAACATGTATATACATATATAAACCGTTTATTTTATTTTAGTAGTAGTTTGAGTAGCACTGATCACAAAATTAAGATTTGTCTTAATATTATTATAAAATTAAGTTGACGAAGACGGAAGAATTGACGAAGTTAGTAATAAATTATATTATTCGTTCGAGGAATGTTATGAGCGAAGTTTATGTCGATAAGAATAAAAGGAATATATTAATATTTAGAGAGATAAATTATGGATCAAAGCATTATAAATTTATTAAAGTTCATAAAATCTACTGATATGTATTTCAAACATCCGAGTAGCTGTATAATTGTTCGATCGTCTCAATGTGGAAAGACTACGCTAGTAAGGAAAATTATTTAATGTAAAATTTACGAAAAGACTATAAAGAAGATTTTATGGTGTTATTCTGTATATTTACCGTTTTTTTCACGATGAAAAATATATTAAATTCATGTACGGCTTACTTGAATCCGTGCAATGATGGGATTTAGTAATAATTGATGATTTGATGCATAAACTCAGTTCAAAAATTGTGTTTCTGTTTACGACAGAGTCTCGTCATTATAATGTAAGCGTGATCTTGATAATGCAAAATCTGTTTTCGTAAAATAGAATTATGAGAGATATAACTTTAAACACGCATTATTTGATTTTGTTTAAAAATAATCGTGATGAAAGTCAAGTAAGTTGTTTGGAGCGGCAAGCTTTTAAATGTATTTTTTTATGAATGCGTATAAAAAAGCGACAGAAAAGGAATTTGGTTATTTGTTATAGGATTTTAGTCTTAAAACGAACAAGAAACTTTCCGTGAGGGATTCGTGTTTTCCGGATGAACGAGGTATTTTTTGGATATACTTACCGATAAAATGAAGAACATAAAGAAAAATAATAAAAAGAATATAATGGGTGAAACAAATGGCTCTGGTCCTTCTCCGATTACTTGAGGCATATCAAAAACCTGAAATAAGAATTGGCAATAATATCGAAGAATTACTCGAGAGCACCGATTTATCCGACGATAATAAAGTCAAATTATTAAGTCAGTTGATTTCGAGATATCAGAGAACAGTTCAGG